GAATCAGCAATTGACTGTTTGAAATACTTGATTTTTCTTTTTTTATGCACTTTTCATTTGTGCAAGTTTTTGTTTTCATAGTGTTTGTGTGCATACACACGTCCATCTGTGTGTATGTGTATAATGTCATAGCTATTTGATTTTTCATCGTTTTTTTTATTTTAAAGAACAGACAAGAAAGAAAGAAATATAAAATCATGGATTCAGCTTCATAATACATTTCACTTTTGGTTTCACCAGTGAAGCTTCAGCAATTTTAAAGCAAATTTTAATACCAAAATTTGTCCAAGTCTGTAATTATGAAAATAGCTTTCAACAAATTATTGCTAACGATTTTACCTGTCAAAACAATTCAAAAAGAAAGAAAGAGGGAGGGAAAAGAAAGAACAGAAAAGAATGAAGGAGAGAAATAACAAGAAAGAAAGAGATGAAGGAATGAAAGATCCAGAAAGAAAGAATAATAAGAAAAAAAGAAAGAAAAAGAAAGAACAAGAATGAAAGAAAGAAAGAAAGATCAAGAAGGAAAGAACAAGAACGAAAGAAAGAAGGAAAGAAAGAAAGAACAAGAAGGAAAGAAAGAAGGAAAGAAAGAAAAATCAAGAAGGAAAGAACAAAAAGGAAAGAAAGAAAGATCAAGAAGGAAAGAACAAAAAGGAAAGAAAGAAAGATCAAGAAGGAAAGAAAGGAAGATCAAGAAGGAAAGAAAGGAAGGAAGATCAAGAAGGAAAGAAAGGAAGATCAAGAAGGAAAGAAAGAAGGAAAGAAGCAAATAACAAGAAACAAAGAAGCAAAGAAATAACAAAAAGATAAAAATCTAAATACATAAAGTAAGGGTTCAGTTTCTCATTATCCTTACATTGTAAATTGAACCCTCTCCTTCTGAAAAAAACTTAAATGTTAAGAAATTTCAATTGGATGCAAGAATTGTTTAAAAAATCCGTTTAGCTAAATTGATGGACACAAAGTAACAATACACTTTCACTTTATTCTTACATTGTAAATTTAACCATTATTAAAAACTTTTTAGAATTTTCAAAAAATGACAGCAAAAAACAGGTCCATCACTAATGAGACAAGACTAAATCTGTCATACATAACATCATTGTTTGTTCAACTATGGACTTTGTTTATTAGTGTCAGCAAGTGAGTGCTTGGCTTTAGAGTGTTTTCTGAACATCATTTCTACAATCTTGTGCGGATGTAAGTAACTATCTTGATCTTCACCCTCTGTGTGCTTATATATTTACTGCCATCCAGTTTGTTCCACATGTGCATATTCCAAGCACAACTCAGTTAACCTTTTGTTCCTACATAATGTGCGGCCACTGACATCTCATGAAAGCAGGAATCTGTCCCTAGTGGATAAACTATCTTTCAAGTCAACCTGTTCATGAACCTGGCTTCTTTGATGCACTAGTATAACATTGAATGACATGTCTATTCTGGCATCATCTGAAATGAGCTCAGTACATGTTATCATCAAAAACACCATATCCCAGACCAAAGGTTCTTTATTAATATTAAATTTGTTTCAAACAATCTGATATTTCCTTACATGAACCATATACTACACATAGTCCTGGGTCCCATTATTAACCATAGTAAATTTAACAGCCTTAACTTCAGCCATCTTTGAGTGATGTAATGACAGGTAAAAAAAAAATTGTTGATTATATTAAGATTAGAATCTTTTACAAGAAGCAGCATGAGAAAAACATTTTCATATTGTTTTCAAATTAGAGATTATTTTCAGTTATGGTAAAAGTCATTTTCTAATGCCATGTCCCTACAGGATGTAGGTGATAATAGCTCCCCACAGCTTCCTTTTCTTTATTATCTGGGAACTGACATGACTTCTTAGGAAAAATAGTAGAGTGGTTTCCTATTGCCTTCTCCACAGATTTCAATTCAGTGTTGTCTTTCTTCTTTCAGGATATAGACAATCATGGCTCTCGACAGATTCCTTTTCTTTATTATCTGGAAATTGCCTTGACTTCTTCGGAAACATACTAGAGTGGTTTCTTGTTGTTTGCCACAGAGTTTTGAATTTAGAGTAATTAAATGTTTTAAAGACATGTCTCGTCAAGATGACTTTCCACAAATAATAAGTGTCATTAATAAACTGTTCCTTGTACTTAACCATTTGATATTCTTCTAGGGAAGTATACATATTTGTTGCAATAGTTTTTCACAAAAAAAAAAATGGAGTTGATAAACCATTGTATCACGACAGCCATATAATAGCTTGAATTTGTTACCACAATGCCCAAGTAGGAATGTTCAATGTTATCAAGTGTCCTATTTTGTGTCATTGATCAACTACCTGCAGGATAATGTTTAATCAAATGTTTAAACATCAGAAAGTAGGACAAAAAACATATCTACATATAATTCACAATATATACAACAGATGTAGATATTATATGAAGCATAACTATATATAAATTTCAATTCAAATCCTATTTATTGCATCACAAAAGAATAACCTTTCACCTAATGTGAATTTGGAAATTCTCCTATGGTTTCTGCCCATTCAGAACATGAGTGATCATGGCTTTTCACAACTTTTAAGATTTTATAGCTCTTTTGACTCTCTTTCCTACTCCCTGTTCTGATACTCATTTACATAAGCTTGTTAGGTAGGTTACTTGCTGTTTACTTCTAAGCAATATTTTACTATCCTTCCCACTCACTGTTCTATTCATTATGCTAATTAGGTAGGTTACTCACTGCTTCCCTCTATCCCTTCAGGACGAGAAGGATCATGGCTCTCCATAACTTCCTATCATTTGTAGCTCTAAGCAATGCGTCTTTACTATCACTCACAGTCATGTTCTGTCATCCATTTACACAAACTCATTAGATAGGTTACTGTTTCCCTCTGTCCCTTCAAAATGAAGAGGATCATGGCTCTCCATAACTTCCTATCATTTGGAGTACTATGCAATATTTATCTTTTTATTCTCCCTCCTACTCCCTGTTCTGATACTCATTTACACAAGCTTGTTAGGTAGGTTACTTGTTGCTTCCTTCTATCCCTTCAAGACAAGAGGATCATGGCTCTCCACAACTTCCTATCTATTGTAGTGCTAAGCAATATTTTACTATTCTTCCCACTCACTGTTCTAACATCTATTATGCTAATTAGGTAGGTTATTCAGTTTCATCTATCCCTTCAGGGCAAGAAGGAACATGGCTGTTCTACCATTCATTTAGCTAATTAGGTGGGTTACTTGCTGTTTCTCTCTGTCCTTTAAGAATTGGGGAGGATCATGGCTCTCCACAACTTCCTATCCTTTGTAGCACTAAGCAATGTTTATCTTTTTGCTATCACCCCCCAATACCTCTTCTGCCATCCATTTGCACAGGCTCGTTAAGTAAGTTACACACTGTTTTCCTGTGTCCATCTTGCCTTCAATGTCCAGTGCGTATGACCTTTTCTGAGCCTTCTTTCCTCATTATGTGTCTCAGTTTCATTAACTAACTTTTCCAAAATATTGACATTTTTGATATTGGACAATTTCCTCTCAGATGAAGAGGAGACTTTGTACAACATGAATATAGAACAATTCACATTTACCAGCAGAAAACTACAATAACAATAACTACCTTTATTTTTACTAATTTCACATATCCCCATCATCATTATTAGAAATTCCTGCAACTGATCCCAATTGCTGTCAAGGCAAAACAATATAGGCAGTTTATGAAGGCATTCATGATCATAAGACCTCCAGGTGTACTGCCCTAAGCATTAGACAAGTGAAGATAATATCATATCTTATGACAATTTTCCTATCCATAGTGGCATTTGACAGCCAGACTGGTAGTACCATAGATGAAATTTGTTGCATGTTGTTTCCATTATTTCATACTTCTCTGCAAACCAAAGCACTGGAGCTGACATCTCTGGACTTGGATTCATTTGATGCAGAAATCTGTTGTGCCTGGGTTGGTCTCCTCTCATGCTGACCTTGAGACTGATTTGTGTGGAAACATGTGGGGGTGATAGCGCTTACAGTGCTGGCAAATGCTCCTCTGGTGACACTGCTTAGACATATTCCCTTCACTCAGGCAGGCAAAACATAACTTATTGTCCATCACAAAATTCATCTTTTCAGACATATGTCTGTTTAAAAAGATACGGCAATCCAGTAAAGTATGACCCTATAAGACATTTGTCTCAAAGACTTTTTTCTTGGGTTTAATATCCTTCTCTGAGATATCCTGGAGGGATGCTGAAGACATGATGGGGTCATATGCAATTTTTGCTTCCTCTGCAAGAAAATCTGCAGTCAGCAATGGAGGGATATCTTCCTGATATGATTTTTGCCTCTGCTGCTGTCTATCCCCATCTATTTACAAGCCATTCTGTTAGCTTCATAACTAACTTTCTATTTTCCCTAAAGTCATTTAAGATAGCTCTTGAATATCTTCCATAGTTACTTTGCATTGTAGTAGGAAGACTTCAAATTTGCATAGTCCTTTACTATCTTTGTTCTGAATTTTATAGGTACAAACATTAAATTTTACCAATGTTTTACATCCATCAATAATAAATCATCTTAAATCTTAATTTTCATTTGTTTTTAATCATTTCACTCCAATCAAGGCAGTAAAGCCACTAAGACACAAGAGATTACCAAGAGTGAAAGAGTATAAGAATACTTTCAGAGGAGGGACTAGAAAATCATTCCTAAACAGGAAACAAGGATAAACCTACTCCTGTTCAAAGAACTGGGGAGAAGTGTGAACTGGATGATAGGTTAATCTAATTGTCTTGCTGTACAGCTCAATCTGGTGAGAAAATGCACCCTTGTTGCACTCCTTTTTTTATTTAAGCTATTTGTTCCTAGTGCAGGTTCTCAATTATTTAAATATACTTTCTGTGTAGTTCAAACTTTCCTAACATTTTAAGTAGATCTTCATGCTGCAATGTATAAAACTTAGGTCAGAGTTATCTCTGCTCTTTTATTGTTTGTTCTGATAAGCATTCTGATCATAAAATTGTATTTCTTGTTCCAGTATCTGGAATTCAGTCACATTGTTCTTGCTCTGTTTCCAGTCTAATTCTGCAGCTAAAAGCTATATTCATGGGAATTGTAATAATCAAGCTGAATAGTTGATAGTGTTTGCATTCATTCATGTTTAGTTTCTTTGGTAGCACTAGCACTTAGGTTCTCCAGTATTTCGCCACTGTCATACATTTTGTTTATCAAACCCAAAATTTCTGTCTGAATTTCTGGGATAAAGAGTTATCATTCTCTTCATTATTTACATGCAGACTATTGTACTCATCTTTGTTATTGTTGTCACATTTCAGCTGTTGTGCCTTCCAGCCTCCATCAGGTGTATGTCAAACTGGGTAATATACAGGGAATTTAAAACTGAACTCTTTATTTAATCTACTGTGGTAGATTGTTCTCATTCCACAGCCTATGTCTAGGGATATCCCATCTAGTTTTTATTTTAAGTACTACTTGGTTATTGCTTCAGTGAGTTCAGTCATGCATGACAAGCACAGCAGCACTTATCAGCAAGCAGGTTAGGTTTAAGGCTCCAAGTCCTCCACACACAATTTTTCCAGGGTACAATGGCCTAGTGAATTAAAGCACTGATTTCTAAATTTGGTGACATAGCTATTGTGAGTTCAATCCCTGTAGCAGGTATGAGTACATTTACTCAGTGAAAATGGGGCAAGCAATAACTGAGCAGTACGAAAATAAGAACTTACCTGTATCGACACCTGAGATACATCTGATGAAAGTTGTAGAGCACAAAGGCTGAACAAAGATTTGCTGCTTTGTTCTTTTT